TCCTGGCATCAGTGCTCTGACACAGGCCGTGGCAATATCAGCCACTGTGATCCCATTTTAAAGACCTACAAATTCCACAGTAACTGTGATGACACAAGTAGCTTTGTCAACCATAAAACAACAGTTCGTGTCCAGTGGGGATGGTTCAAGTACTCTTTATTTGTTTTAAGTTCAGACACTGAAAACTACTTGGATACTAGACACCGCTTCAGAACAAATAACCCTTCTCATTAACAACTGCCACGTGTAAATGAGCCAATGTGGCAGTACTGACAAAATAGCAGCAACTGCCACTTAAAACTATCCTAAAAGAGAAACCTCTGATTGACATCGATTGGTGGAGCACTGACAATACCATATTGAAAAGACAAACCATGTGAACAAGACATTTAAGCAATATTTAGCTCTAATAAAGGGAAAAATACAAGCAATGGACAGTAAAATCTAGCTTTAAGAAACCTATATAGAATAGAGGCAACATACAAAAAAATTCTGGCTCCTCTAAATGAAATATATTAAAAAAAAAACTTTCCTAGCAGTTTATCTCGATGATCTGTGACTTCAGACAGCAAAGAGACTAAGACAGAAAAAGATTAAAGTGAAAGTGGATTACCACGACAACCAAAGTAGATCTAAACTGCTGTACCACAAACTATCCTTGATCGTAAACTGGCACACGATCTGAAGTCTGCCTCTGTCCAAGGTTAGTGGCTCCTTGTATACTTAATATATTTTTTAAAGTAGTTCCTTCTTAGGTTGTGTTATGTTAAAAAGTACAGAATCAATGCTGCTTTCCAGCTCAGTTATCTTCAGACCCACTGTGCACATAAACTCTTCCATCATGGGATCCTGTATCCTGTTTTATGGTACTGAAATGCCAACACCATCTTCTGTAGCTATTAGGTCACTTTAGTTTTCAGAGGAACAGCTCAACAGGACGTTACCCTCAGATTTCTGCGTTCAGACTAATAAACTTTCCTATTACTTGCCTTCTTGCTGGTTTTGAGGTACTGAACGGAAACAGAATGAATCACACACAAGGGTAACCATTTCTGTTTTAATATTGTCCAATCAGAAAACACAACCAAAGAAAAGTAAACAGGAAGTAGGATTAAAGGCTTGTGTAGGACTTCCTGTTTCTTTCAGATTTTGGTCCTAAGCCATAATCATCATCATGTTCATCATTACCACCACCATTAATATGATCTTCAGCATCAACATCTTTGTAGTCCACATTTTAATTTCAAAGTCATCACAGTTGGATAATTTACAGTGTTTATTATACACAGGGCAGATTTTTTGTGTGCTTTGTGTCTGTAAACTGAACTTCCCTGAATGGACAATGAAGGTTGAAAATGCACTGAATAATTAGTATAATAATTAGAATGATACTAATTAGCTTTTTCACATCATCAACATTTGTCATCACTGAGTCAACCATCATAATTAGTTCCACCATCATAATTATAATCATTTAATCATAACTGGTAATGTGGCTCTCATCACCAAAACTGCTGTTTTCTTCATCTTCACACACGCACATCAACATACGTCACTGGACACACATTTTATAGAAGCAGGCAGGTCCATTAATTTGTATATGGCTCAGTTATTAACATCAAAGCTGGATCGAAGAGAAGAGGAACAACTTCAAAGTCTGCTCCACTGGACAAAAGTTCAATGCAACAAACATTAAAAGTCCTTTTTTTAAAAAAAAAAAACTTCTTAAAAGTCACATTTCCAAAGGTTTCACAGGTGTTCTCTTCAGGCATTTTTGTGTCCAGCTCATGTTCCTAAGACTCTCGAGTCCACAGAATCATTTACATTAAAAAAGCAAAATCAGAAATCTACTCCCTTGAAAGTCCATTGTGCTTTTAAATCCGTAATGCTGCAAGACTCTTAGCCACACAGTCCACAGCAGTGCAGAGCCCATTATACTGTACAATCCACATTGATCGGAAATCCTTTGATCTGTAGAATCTGTCACATTGCTGTCGCGCAGCCAACACCTCCATTCTGCTTTATATTTTGTAGTGCAGCAGAATCTGTACAGGCTCCACAAAGCAGTCAGATCTACGACACTCGTGCACTACTGACCGTGTGTATGGTCAGTGCTGTTGTACACCGTCTGTTGTACTTTGTAATCCATCACACTGTCCCATATAGCATCAACTCTGCCAAACTGCATGCTCCTGAACATAGAACTTATCGTTGCAAACAAATATCTTGAAATGCCAGGTTCCTCAAGCTTTGCATTTCATCAGTAAATCACTTTGTGAACTTTATAGGATTACACTTGCCTGTCTTTAAATAAGTCCACTGATGATGACCTTTAATCTGTCACATCAACATGAGTACAACTGTGTTTAAAAAGCCACATCATCTGCATATAACGACACTAAACACATTTCTCTAAACAACATGCTCTCAGCTGTCTTGTTGGACATTTCATTTCACCATCTTTCATTTTGACTCTACTCACTGATTTGTCCATCAGGTTTACTGATATCTAACCATTGACTGGCTCAAAAAAAATAAATCTTGTATTTCTGACTGTAGGTTTTGTCCAGAAGTTGAGGCTGATGTGCTTTTGTCCAACAACTTTCTGGTTTTGTGCTTTGTAAAACCACAGAAATCTTTTTGAGTTGTTATTTGGTCACTGATTTAATTTCCAAGATTGCTGTCAGCCAGAAAAAGCTTTCTGAAATGCTCTGTCAGTTTTACAGTCCCCTGGCTCCTCTCAGTTTTCCACAAGGAATGATTCCAACATTCTCATCCATCTGTCATTCAATTAATCTCTCTGAGGAGTTTGTCAGACTTTAGGAGGTCACAAAATAAATAGCAGGTTTTCTGGCTGACAGATTTGAAGTGGGAAGCATTTGGGGAAACTATTACAATTACACCTGACCCCTTCTGGTAGCTTGCCAAGTGTGTGGATGCAGGTGTCTTTAATTTAAGAGAAAGAAAATAATGTCTTTTACTTGTTCCAAACAAGTAAACACACAGATTCTTTTAAAGAATAAAAATGATATATTATGATAGCTTAGGGTTATAAATTAGTATTTTTAGAATTAGCCCCCTGAAAGTTAACTGGATCATGCTAATGTGAGTCTTTTTCCATTTAAGTCTATGAATGCCAAATTAGTTGTGCATTCAGAGATGCTGTACTGCATACTTTGATAGTAATGAGTGATTATTCGGGTTACTGTTGTCTTACTATCAGATTCCTATGAAAGCAGTCTGGTCATTCTCCTCTGACCTCTGACATCAACAGTGTATTTTCTCAGAGAGAACTGCTGTTAACTGGATATTTTCTATTTTTCCAGACCAGGCTAATGAGAGCTGCATTCATTTTACATTTGAATTTGTTTTTCTTTTCCTGTTTTCTTTGCCTTTACAAATGAAAAACATTTCATTTGTTCATTTCTCAAACACAAAATGCATTTAAATACTTTTTATTTTGGTTTTCTGTCAGGTAGCATATTTAATCCTATAGAGGGCACAGAAATACAGACTTACATATTGGCAAATGGAAAATACCTTTCATGGTAAATTCTGTTTTTGTAGTTGCTGTCAATAACTTTAAATAGAAAAACTAATTTATAGAAAATTGTAAATCTTGTCCTATTCAGCCTCTGTGCTTTTGCTTAAACCCAACAAACCCTTTATATACTAAGGCTGTTTTGGGCCTTCTTTTAAAGTCTCCTTCAAAATGCTGTCCAGTTTTGCTTATAGAAAAGAAAACAGACCTTTGCTCGGCCATTATTATTCTTCAGCATTAAGTGTTTTCTCTGGTTTAGAGGAAATTTTGATTGAGCTTTTGTGCTGAGAGCTTTTTATATTCAGGGGACATTTCTGAAACGAGGCCCCAATAAACCCCTCCTGAAACCACTGATATTTTCAAAAGCTGAGTTTTTGATCATGAAAAAAAAAGCTGCCCTTTAATTTCAGGCCGAACGGTATGCATTCTGTGGACAGTTAATGAGTGTGAATCAGTGCTCTGAGTGTTATCAGAAGACACTAAGTCCATGTAGTGTTAATTACAGCTCTGTTCAATGATCGACATGCCCCTAACTGCCAGGGTGTCTGCCTTTTAACGTCAGCCGGTTTAATGTGCTGAACACAGGCCAGACTGATTAAACTGTTCTGGATCTTTGGTTAGCAAGGGCGTTGTGAGGATCAGAGCCTTGAAGTGCTGAAAACTGCGAGTTGCATCTTTAATCAGCCAATCAAAATGCAGACAATTACACCTATGATTTCTCAAAGTGAGAGTAAAATTTTCTTTGTTCTGGATATGTTGAAATGTCTATTTTGAATCCTTTCTAGTCAATTCATTGCATTGTGTGATTGAAACCATACAATCTAATGTCAGTTCATTCTGCATCTGGACGTAATGTTTTCAGTGGGAAAAACATTTCGTCATTCATCCAACTGACTTCTACAGTCTCAGCCTGGATCACCACTAAGTCACTGGTTCAGGTATGTGGATGACACCTGGGTGAGATCAAATCTCAGGACATACCACAATTCACTGATCACATTAACTCAGTGGACCAACACATCAAATTCACCAGGGAGGATATGAAAATTGACAGGTTAGCCTTCTTACATTGTGAGATTTCCATCAGTAATGGGGGACATTTAAAAGCTGATGTGTACCATAAACCTACCCATGGGGATCAGTATTTAAGGTTTGACTCTCGTCATCCACTGGATCACAAACTGGGTGTCATTTAGGATGCTACAACACATAGCGATCACCATCCCACATATACAGCGGCCAGGGAAGCAGAAGAACATCATATCAAGAAGGTCCTGAGTAAAATACGGTTATCCCAGCTGGACAATTGTCAAAGCTGGGAAGGCACCTAAAGAAAGTTCCAGGCGATCAAGGAAAGAAGGACAACTGCAAAACCCGTAGTGATCCCTTATGTGTCAGGAGTATTGGAACAGTTGAGACACATTTTTTCTAAACACTGAGTCGCTGTGGATTTTAAACCCCAAAACACACTGAGCTACCAAAAAATGGTCCACCCCAAGGATCGAGTCCCCCGACACAAACAGAGTAATATAGTGTATGCTATTAAGAGCCAGGAGGACTGCCATGATTTATACATCAGGGAAACCAAAAAACCTCTGGCAAAGTGGATGGCACAACACAGAAGAGCTAACTTGCCAGTCCCAGACTCCGCAGTCTATCTATGCCTACAGGCTAGTAAACACTCTTTCAGTGATGAGGATGTACACATCCTGGACAGGGAGGAACGCTGGTTTGAGCAGCTGAGACTGAAGAAGCCACTTGGTTGAGCGACAAAATGTTTCTCCCACTGAAAATGCTATGTCCAAATGAACAGAATAAACTTTTTGACTTTTCGATACTGGTTGTGTTCCCATTTTTTGATCAAAAGAAAAGCTAGTATCAAACATTAGTGTCATATTAGATGTTTTAAAGGGAAAACTCACTAAACCATTTATATCTAAACGCGTTGTCAACCTCAGAAAGAACCACCCGTGACTGCTAATACCACAGTAAGTAGTCCTCCATGGGCTGTGTCTAATGAACTCTAGCTGAAATACAACTTTGTTTTTTTGTTGTTTATAAAAATCTTAGTCATTTCACTTTGTTGTATGCTGTTTTTAATCTGAGAGCTGGTTCTTGTCTCAGTGACTGCCCTTAAAGCAGTCTAAACATAGCACAGAAACCAATTTAACCACATCAGCCACAAGTGGAAGAAAGCAATCCAGTAGAGCTAAAAAGATTGAAATCAAGGTTCTTTTAAAAAATCAAAACCAGTCAACCCAGTGTTCTTGATCTTTCAGTCCATCTTTTTTTCTGTCTGACTGCATCTGGTAGCTAGCAGGGCGTTAGCATAGCAGTCAGTTTGCAGTCACTTCACTTTAGCTGGCTGGCATGGTGTTAACCGAAGGTGGTACTCGGAGGTTTGCGTAGCCACTGGTAGAACTGCCGCCGGTGTAGGCGGTGCCAGCGCACATTGCCCTCGACAATTTCCAGCGCTCGTGGCAACGCAGGCCCCGCCCCCACACCACTGGACAGGATGAACTCCTTTAACTAAAGGAAGAAAGAACAACAGGAGTAAATAAGGCAGCAGAGGAGAAGAAAGGAAAGAAAAGAAGATGAAAGAAAAGCAATAATAATAATATTTATCCCCTGTAGATGCTAAAAAGGCTGTCACCCACCCCCCCTCCGCAGTGCTGAAAGAAACAACTTCTTGACTTTTCAGGATGGAGATCCCTAACACGGTGGACATTGATAACTTTCAGGCAGATTTGAGCCTTTCAAGCTCATCGAACTGTTCTATGTTGTTTCCATTAAAATTTAAAAATCTAAATAAAACTTAGAAGGCACAATCTTTGTGCCTGAGATGGTCAAGAGTAGAAAACTAAAGAGAGCATTGTGGGGCAGTTTGAACCCAGAGGTTAGTCTCACAGGGATTTCTTTTACATACATTGACCTCATGACCTCACTTGTGCCATGTCCATTATAAAAATCTACCTCTGGGAGAGTATATATATGACATAAATAAAGGAAAGTTTTATAATTCCACTTTTAGAAGTAAGAAAAAGTAAGAATGTATTCTGTACAATTAACAGATACATTGCCAATAGAAGTTGAAAAAAAACAACAACAATAGCATACACATTTCATTCTTTTAGTTTGAGGGTTTTGACCAGATTGTGAACCCAGCTGCAAGGATTTGCTCCCATTCAGCCATGAGAGCATTAGTGTGCTGCTACACTGATGCTGGGTGATAAATCTGGATCACAGTTGCTGTTCCAGTTCACCCCAGAGGTGTTGGATGAAACTAATGAGGTCAGGGCTTGCAGGATCTTCTGCAAACAGTTAACACAAAGTTAGATGGATACTAAAGCAAATAACTGAAAACTCCTGGATGATGTTTTCACGTCTCAAACAGATTATTTGTGTCTTATTTAATTTTCTTCACTTATGCATCACGGAGAAAGGCATGTGTAAGGTAAAACAGTTTCAAATTAAATACTGTAATCATGGACATTTAAATGCAGTTATTCTTCATTCCTCTTGGCTTGAATGGTACTTGTGGTGAGTGAGTACACATTTTTGATGGTCATTAGCAAGACAGCTTGAAATTCACTTCACAGATTTTGCTTTTTTTCACTGAGCGGAGCACCACACTACACACAGATACCTGTGCTACTAATTACAGGTAGCTAGGAAACGACTCTGCTCACGGTGTCACACCTCACAGTGTCATTATAAAATAAAATTAAACAAAACCTCAGCAGCTGAACTGTAAACATAATGGATTCACATATATCATCAGTATTTCAGAGCCTGCAGAATACTTCCCAGACACGCCCACTTAGAATAAAGGGTATACAATTATTTAATTGCTTTAACCATTAGGGTTTACAGACTGACTGTGAGCATGAATGTGATGAAAATATTTGGATTTTAATGATTTCTTCAAACTGTTCTTTTTCTAATGTTGTGTGATTGTACAGCATACATCTTAAAAAACAACATTCACACGTTTTTTTATTTGCTCTGTTTTTTCACTGGGAAAATTTCCAGCTGCCCTGCTGGTAGCACACTCCACACACCACTTCAGGTCCCAGCACATCTTTTACAAGGGAGACACGATCAGCTGACGGAGCTCAGGTGTGTGTCAGCCTCCCCTGACACCACACCCTGAACCCACTGCTCCACCCCTCCCGTGCAGCTGAGCCACAAATACATTTATAAACCCCCCACTAATCTTCGGTTAGCAAGCTGCACTTCGTCCAGATGCTTTTGATAGCCATCAACAAGCTGCTCACATAATTCTGGATGGATATTTGACTATTTGTCTTTGTAGAATTGGTAAAGTTCATTTAAATTAGGGTTGAGGTCAAGGTTTTGGGAAGGCCATTCCAGAAGCTTAATTTTAGCCAACTTTATCCATTCCAACAACAGTTTTTGTATATTTGAGATCTTTGTCCTGCTGGAATAACAAGCGTGTTCAAATTTCAGTCATCTAAGTTGTAGGTAGTCGTCCTCGTTCATTATTTTATCCACTTTGTGCAGAACAACAGCCCCAGTGCATGATGCTGCCACCACCATGCTTGACAATCGGTACAGTGTTCTTAGGTTTCAAAGTCTCACCTTTACTCCTCTAAAAATATTTCAGGTCACTGTGGCCAGAGCTAAATCTTTGTCTTGTTTGACCATCAAACCTTTCTTCCGTAAGCACTTGACTTGTACACGTGGGAAGCTCGAAATTTCAGTCGAGGTTGAATGTGTTGATTTTGGAGTCACAGCTTCTTTCTTGATCAGCACCCTGTCAGTCCATGGTGTTGTCAAAGTGACCACATTGTGGACAGTGACACTGGTGTTCCAGCAGTTTCCATTCATGGGAGGCTTTAGCCTTCATGATTCCCAACATCAAAACCAATTTCCTCTCACGTGAGGGTGACAGTTTGGGTCACCCTCATATAAATTTCCTTTCTTAGATCTTCACTGAGTTTCTTGGACTTTCCAATTTTTCTGAGTATTGGTCAATCCAGTGAGTGCTGTCAAAAAAAATCCTTTTTGTGCTGCAAAGAGAAACGACCAACTGTAGTCAGTCATGATGACTAAGGAAATGTTAACTAGCCTGTACATATTATTTATATTTGACTCATTTACACTTTTGACCCTGCATAGATTTGAGAAAATCTATAATAAATTCAAACATGTGGACCCAATTCCTGTTTAAGTTATTATGTATTCTATACAGTCACTCCACCCTGGAAAAATAATGCCTAAAAAACATTAAATGTCCAAAATCACAGCATTCGTGCCCATGATGATTGGACAACAACTGTGCATGCACCGTATGCAGCAATAATGGCTGCTGAGAGATAATGGTCCTACCTGAAAGGCCTCCAAAGTCCACATTAGGGAGGGATGGTGATGTCTTAGCACATTTATTAGCTAGGAGATCATGGTCTGCATCTAAGTTTGAAACTTTTTAACAATTTGTTTTGCTTGTTACAAGTGGAACTAAGGCAGGTGGACAAAGCAATAAAAAGGCACATGCATATACATTTGGCCATTTAGTAGCTGAAATACAAAAGGCTCTGAGGTTTTATATAAAGAAGACTTTGTTGTTTAAACACAGCTGAAGAAAAACATTTGAATGTGAACATGTGATGTATTCAAGCTAAACTGTCTTTGAAAGGCATCAATTAATTGTTGAAAATGCTCTTTTTTCAACAATTTATAATTACACATAAAATTTCCAGCATGAAAGTGGAGATTTCAAAGGAAGACTTTGGTTTACAGGACTGTAAATTAATAGGTTTTCAACATTAAGGTGTTTTTTGGTCAAAAAGAGAATCTTTCTTGAAAGAAGTGAATTAATTATTTTTTTTTAAGTTGAGAGCCAAAAAGGAAACTTAATGTTGTTCAGAGTTTGACAGATTCAGTGAAGCACGGGCGGAAATCCATCCCTTCGGCTCACTTTACTACAGTTCATATTGTTAACCGAGCACTCCTCTGCGCCTTCCTTCCACCTTTCGTCTCTGCTATGATTTCACTTTCTGTTATCTTTACACTTTCCCTCTCCTGTGTGACTCACCCTAAGACCCTTTTCAAACTAAAAAGAATCATCATTAACTTAAACTCATGGTGTTTTCGTTTAGAGGTTTCACTGACAGCCAAACCTAATGCGGTTACCATACCAACAGGAAAGTCGAAAGAATATTAATCACTAAAGTTTAAATAAAAAGATTTATTCAGAAACACCTACGACCTTTTTTCTCTTCCTTTAATTTTATATTTAATTATATCTGATTTCCATCTTTTCATCATATCAAACAACAAGCGTAGTAGCTGTGAGATGATTCAACACAGGAACGATTAATGTTGTTAATCAAGCTCTATTTTCTCTGAGTAATCAACAGTAAATTTGGAATATTGATCCAGCTGTGAGCCTCTCGAGAACACAATTACACACTGATTAATTTCAAGGTCCTGTTAATTTCCAAGCTCCCATACTGGCATGTAGAAAACATGCTAATCTTCCTTCTGGTAGGGTATAGATTTATTTATTCTTGCTCTGAATGGAAGAATTAATTTCCCTTCATTTATTTAGGCCAAATGAAAGAGTCTAGAGTCACAAAGTCTTTAATGTGAAACAGTAAAGTAATCCAAACTTTCCACCAAGTTTCTACCAAGTAAGGAGAACATGACGAAGACAGCAGGGAGGAAAATGGATTGGAACACAGTGGGAAAAACACGGATGCCCCAAGAAAGGATGAAGGGAGGACTCAGGATATATGTACAGACAGAGTTAATTAGAGGAAGCTAAACAAATGTGTAACACAGGTGAAAGAAAATCAGGAAGAAGAAGCTAAACTTCATAGAAGACACAAAACAGTAACTCAGTCTGAACTGGTCAGTCTGTTTTATATCAGAACACACTGGCTCGGTCTCAGAAATTATCCAAAAGAATAGTTGTCTTTGAATGGTTACAACATTTTGGCTCATCATCAAAATCTCTGTGTAGCATATGGGTGAGTTTTTCACCTTCATCAAATGAGGAGGGAAATTTATAAAAGGGAGATCTTTTGAAATTAAACAGGATGCGCTCACTGGTGTGTTACCATGCAGGATTCTCAGACAGACCACCTCCTCACTCACGACCTTTAAAGATGGCAACAAGAACAACAACAAAAATACTCAACTCTTAAAACTTAAAGTTAGAAAGTTAGTGAAGTTACCCTAACTTTGCTAACTTTAAAATGTGTGATGTCATAGTGGCTGCATTCACATTGTATACAGAGTCTATCACAGGAAAATTTAATTTACACAAGTAACTTTATGTCAGGGACCTGGATCTGAGCTATCGGGGGTCCCTGAGCTGTTATGGACTTGTGTTATATTATATGTGATACTGCGCTACTGTTCTGTGTCCACATTGGTATATAGGCAGGTATGTGTGTATGTGTGTGTATATGCAGCTGTTTCCTGTAGCACCTTTAGGCCTGGTGGGTGTGGCCCTGCTAGAAGGTGGGCCACCTCTGAAGACCTTTGCCAAACACCTGCAGCTGATCAGGGCTCGTTGGGGGAGCTATTTAGGAGAGTGCTGGAGCTTCCACCGACACTGGATCATTGCGTGAGACTCCACGTTAGTCTTCCGGTCGAGTTTAGTTAGTGCGTGTATGCCCGCGGTTGTATTGTGTCCTGACGGCTGCTTCTATTGTTTTCCCCAGGAGAGGTGTGGAGCGACGGACAGCAGCCAGCACGGGTAGTGCTGAGACACGGGAGCGGAGGGCACTAAGACACGGACTTTTCACGGAGGACGCAACGCGGGAGTCAGAGGAGAGCACGGGGATTTATTGTTCATTCATTGTGAATAAACACTGTGAATTTTTTTTAAATAGCAGCTTTACACAATTCTGAACCCCAGATGTCACTTTCTATCAGATGCCAACTTTAGTCTACTGATCACAGAAAAAACTACACCACTTGTTTCTATGTCTGTGAAGGTTCTCAGTCATCCAGGTCATCGTAGTCGAGGGAGCTTTGAAAGAAAAGCGTCTGCACTTCTTTAAGTTGCTTGAAGACGTTTCACCTCTCATCCGAGAAGCTTCTTCAGTTCTAAGGTCAAATGGCAGAGAGTCCCAGATTTAAACCCAGTGGTAGTTTCCCCCCAAAGAGGGACAAAAGGACCCCCTGATGATCCTCTACCTAATCACATGAGCCAAGGTGTGAAA